TTGTATTGATACATAATATAATTTGGAAATACATTTAAAAAAATGCATTGCATTTTGTGCGGATGACGCAAACACGATCTTCGGAGCAATTCATAGAAAAGGACAAAATAATATTTTTTTTGAACTAAAAGAAGCCATTCAAAATGAACTGGAAGGTGTTGGTTGCTCTGCTCACATATTGCACAATACTATTTCTACAGCTGCAAATACGTTTAGTATTGATGCTGAAATGATTATTTTTAAAATATTTGGATACTTTACTATTTACACTGTGAGAACAGAAAAATTAAAAGATTTCTGTAAATTTGTGGATATCAACTACAGAACTATTTTAAATCATTCCAAAACTCGGTGGGTATCATTACTAATAGCAGTGGAAAGAACCTTATCTATGTGGCCTGCGCTAGAATCATTTTTTCGGTATGAAGAAAACCCTCCAAAAATACTATTCGACACATTTAATAGTCCGATGAGTGAAACATATATGTGGTTTTTACATGCACAACTCGTTATTTTTAACAGGAATATTTTATTGATTGAAAAATCTAAGACTAGTATAATTGAACTAAGAAAAATATTGAACACCATTTTAGATGACTTAAAAAATAGACAAATTAATAAATTTGTTGGTTTAAAAGTTCTAGAAATGTTGAGAAAAGAAAAAATATCTGATCAAGTAAAACATACATTTTATGTTGAAGTTGATGAGTTTTACAATACAGCAATTACATATTTAACCAAATGGTCGGTCTCAACAAATCACTTCTAAGTTTTTGACTGGATGTCTTTATTGGAGCCGATAGCATGGCATCATGTAGAAGCACAGATATATTATATATATATGTTATTATATATATCTGTGTGTAGAAGAAACAATAATTTATTTATCCGATAAAAACATAAAGTTAGACGATTCTTTATTGTTTGATCAGCTCACATACTTAAAAAAAAAAAATCGAAGAATTCAAAAACAGTATATCAGATTGGGATAGTAAAATTGCTACTGAAAAATGGCAATATTTTTTTAGTGTGTCAATACACGATGAACAACATTCAGAACTTTTAAAAATTGCTCAATATGTTTTTGCAATACCAGCGCACAATGCTTATGTCAAAAATGTATTTTCTTTAATGAAATCGTCTTCACCTTGATACAGTGGAATAGTTACTATTTTTCTGTCTGTCTGTCTGGTTTTGTTTGATGAAAATATGGCATCCCTAGTGTAACACGGTGTTATAAATAAATTATGATCAAATTATCACCACTGAAACAGTCAACTTACATTTTTCCTATTGTGGCCTTGGTGATTTTTTTTTTTGGTTTATTTGGCTTATTGGAATGCGGAACTGCCGGAATTCGTTTATAGTTTATACTTTATTATTGTAAGTTGTTTGTGAAATAAACGTCCTTTTATTATTAATATAATAGTACCTACATTGTTTATCGAAACGTTCTTCGACAACAACCGTTGTCGTTCCCAGTAACCTGACACCGAGACGCTAACATTATGAATATGGTTTAACAAATTACATTCTTAAGAACATTTCTATACCGTTATCGTTATTTTTTAAAAAAGTGTTTAATAACTGGCTATTTTCCTACAGCGTTTAAAAAAAATGTATTGTAATCCCATTATTTAATTCAGGTAATAAATTAGCATGTGGAATTACTATAGACCTATCTCACTATTATTAACTTTATAAACATTTTTCGAAAAATTTATCAAAAATCGTTTATTTAATTATTTGACAAATACGTCATTTTTTTAAGATTCACAGTTTGGTTTTTTAGCTGGTTTGTTAACAACTGATGCGATTTTTAAGCTAGATATTTTTGTTAGTACATATATTAATGTTAACCATGAATCATTGCTAAAAAGAAATAGTTTTCAGGTATTCGTGGTATTCGGTTAGTTGATAATAACCTATTAAAATCTTTCTTAAGTAAAAGAACTCAAATAGTTAAAGTAAGCAATTATTATAGTAAGGCTAGAAGTATAGATTGTGGAGTTCCACAAGGAACAATATTAGGCCCTCTACTCTCTTATCTTCTTTATAAATGATTTATTGAATATAAATATAAATAGTTATATAGAAATAATAAGTTTTGCTGATGATACGACTGTATTAAAATCTGAACCAATAGTTGATAGCTTGTACCATGAAGCAAATTAAATTTTAAATTTGTTTTTATTCATCTGTTAATAATTTTAGACTGTCCATTCTCTAAAATGTAATCCTAGTTTAAATACCAAACGTCACCCAAAATGGGTAAAACTTGAAAAAAATAATGAATATCTTGGCTTAATAATAGATTTAGACTCATACTCTGTTCGCCCAGAGAAAACGCAGCGGCCCGAAGAAAATCGGTTCGTTTTGAGCATCCCCTCGCTTCACCCACCCATAACTGACGGTGGCAGGACTCGACTGCCGAAAGGAGTCGCTAGCATCGGCGTCGGTCACCAATTGTCGTCTCGACGACCGTGCATTCTGTAGCGGGATATAGAGCCTTGGCAGTTGGCGAGCGAGAACGGTCGGCTTGTCAGTCTGCGATAGGGTAGTTTTGTAAATTATATTAATGGTATTTTACGAAAATTGTTTCATATATTTAATGAAGCCAGGTATATATTAGATGTAAATTATAAAAGAATTAGGTGCTTATTTAGCGTTAGAGCAATCTTTTTTTCCCATGGGGAGGAACTTTTAATAACATTATCTTTAAGCTTAATGTTACAATAATTTACAACAAATGATGTTATAAAATATGTGTGAAGCCTACATTAGCAATAATCGACTATCTGTAAAGGTGTAGGTAATTTTATTATTGCCTTCAATAGTTTTTGTGTATCATTTAATCTTCAAATAATAAAAAAAAAATGGTAGTACCGTTTTATAATAATATAAATATACCTAACTAACACAAAACTCTGTAATTACTAAACAGTAAATGTTGAGCGTGTTATCATAAATATAGTATACAAAACAATAATAAATTCATGGCGAAATATATTATATTTACAACAGTCTCATAATATAATAAATAATAATACATAATATTTAGACAGCAGTCTCATATAATGATACATAGTTTCACAGTAGTCTTTTTATAATGATATATAATTTTTAGACGGCAGTCTCATACGATAATACAATTTTTTTTAGACATCAGTCCCAGATTAATACATAATTTCCAATGAACTATTATAAATGATAATAATATAACCATATAGGGCCCGTCATCCGGAATAAACATAATTAATTGGTAGACTCATCGGATAGTTGGACTGCACATTTAGTTTTACACTCACGACGCTACCGTACCAGGGTCCGTAATAGTATAATGAATTTAATACGAAATGAAACAAGTTGACCCTGCATATGCACCAATACGTATTGACAACGAAGATTTCACAAATAAATCAAAATACTGATTGCAGCCGGGACAGGAACACGAGGTGTTGGACACTACTGTCCCCAAGGTACAAGGCTGATTCACAAAAACCATATAACTGGTAGTTTTGGCGGCACGGTGCGTGTAGTACGTGTGCGGAAAACGGCGTGCACCAACGGGCGCAAACGCGGGAGCGAAACACATCGGACGGACGGGTGAACGAGTACATAATAATATAACAACTTTAAGGGGTGGCGGTAGGTTACTCTATTTCTACGAAGGTTTGACAGAAACAAACCCTTCGTGCCACGTTTACCAACGACTTCCAAACGAACCGAGGTCCTCTTCCAGGCAGACCCCCGCGGACCAACAGACCGTGCTGCCGGGTATTCCGGAAATTCCGCAGGTACCGGCGGGACAGTCTTCACGCTACCGTACACCGGTGATTCGCAATTCGGGAGACGACCGGAAATGTTCGCTCCGCTGAATCAGTAGCTTCTGCAGGACAGCCGCGGTGGTGATCCTATGATCGACGGCTAGGTCTAGAGCGTCAATCAACGAGGTTTCCCTGTGTGCGTCCGTATTCGATTTCACATTAAAAGGTGCATCAGGCTCTAACGATGGTCCAATCACAAGCACGTCCTGCTACCTAATCTTCAGGCCAAACAAAATTGTGGCTTGGTCCCGCCAGTTTCGTGGATCACGATTGTTAATCAAACACAGATATATTGTGTTTAGCAAGTGACGGTGCCATTTATTATTTTTAACCTGCACAACTCTTTTATTCATCTTCTTCTTATTTGGATCATTATTAGATTCACTTATGAAAACATTATCCACCTCGGTATTCCGTACAGTGGGCTTTATGTATATAAAATAAAACAATGATAAAAATATTTAATAAATAATTTCATTAATAGAATTCTCAGGAACATTTTTGGACCCAAATTGAATTGAATAATAGTATTGGATTAAATTGCTAAAAAATATAGATATTTTTTTACCTGGGTAATTTTAATTAATGCATCATCGGCAGTCGAATCTTCATTTAATGAGCCATTTTCACGTTAGGGAAACGGATCTCTCCTCTTAAACTACAAAAAAAACAAAAATAAAAAATGAGGGTCGATAGGAGGGATTAACATCTGTGGCATGGAGCTCAAAATTGGTAAAATACTTAAATACATCACATTTGTGTAAGCAAATTAATTTTTAAACTACATTTTTATGAATTTTTTTTGCTCTAAAAAGTAGAAACCTTATGCAAAATAAAGTTATATATTATTAAAAATATTATAATATGAATTTTTAAATTAATTATAACTACACCAAATTCCCAATCATGACATCCAACATAATTATCAAGTATTTTAAATATGCCAATTGCATCAGTAAAAATCATCGTAGTATATTCTGAGTGGTGATTAAGGTTAGGTTTTATACCGGGATTGAATATTTTTTAGAAGCACTTTCCGTCTGGTTTTGGAGCAATTTTAAGACTTTTAATTTAATTTTAATAAATGTATAGATTTATTTTATTACAATACCAATATGGAGAATATGATTTTGAGATTGATTAAACGAATTATAAATTTACGTAGGTATGTTTTCAAACAAACTCGTCAAGGTCTGGAACCCGGAAAAAATTACGTTTGCATAACTTAGGTGGTTCGATTTTGCCGTAATCGTCGCCCCACTCATATTCGATACAATCTTTTTTTGTCGGACACCGCCAGCTTTTTGACCTCTTTTCCATGCAATCTACTTCTGCGCCTTTTTCCCTTGTCGCAGTAATACGACCAGGAAACGTGTTGTTCTCAAACAATTCTATTACAAAATCACCAACGTTATACGAAGCTTGTTTGCCTTCAGGTTCACCGGATTGAGGTTCATCGACTTCAGCTTCGTCAGCATGTAGGTTATCTACGTTTTCATCACTGTCCTCTTCACTGCCACCATCTGACTCATCGACAAAATCCATAATATCGGATTCATCGCTGGAGGAAGAGGACACAACTTAACGTTTTTTATTTTTTGCCACTGGTTGATAACACGTGCCTGTTGGAGGTCTTCATAAGAAATACCGTTTCCTGGTAAGACTTGAAGTTTTTTTTCGTGGCTTGCCAGGTCCACCTATGAAATCTTGTCGTTCTTTTTAAAGACGATCTAAGAACGCCTGTCCGACCAAATCTTCGTTCAGTCCACAATTTTTATTTTCTTCTGGGTGTCTTTTTAGAGAACTGTTGACCCAATCATCTTGTGGTATATTATTTTTGAATTGTGGTACTTGAGTACCTTTGCTATCCAAATACCGACATATAGTCATTTTAAGGTCAATAGGTATTAATGGAAATTCGAAATTAGCAAATGTAACACAGTGCTGGGCAAAACATAATTCTTCTTCACGGCTGAAGACTGTCGAATGGCCAACGCTTTTACCGTGGTATTTTTTTAATTTAATTTTAATAGTTGATCTGGGTATTTTATAGTGGTCTGAAGCTGCACGTTGGGACATTAACTTTAATCGTATTGCCCTTAAGCACGTTTCTAAAGTATTATGACTATAATTTTGGTACGTCCTAGTACCGGGTTTACGTATTGTCTTCCGCGGCATAGTGGTACATGTTTATTCATACAAATTAAGTACCTAGAGGGGCTATTTAAAACACGGAAATAGCATTATAATGCCAAAAAAACGAAAATAAACAAAAATGTTCGACTCAGGAGCTATCGGATAACGAGGGCCAAAGTTACCCCGACCTCAACTTCGTGATTTAAACAACCAAAAAAAATGTTTTTTTTACAATTGTTGATAAATACTTTATAAAGGTTTTATATGTGAGACAATATTCTTACTTACCGAGTACTACGTCGATTGAATCATACAAAACCAAATAAAAGTTATACAAGAAAACTTTTTCGGAAGATAAAATTGACAACAAACAATATTTTTATTGATAACAAGACTTGTGATACCGGCAAAAACTGTTATCATATTCGGTTACCAATGTTATTATCTATCGAAAACAACCACAACATTCTGGTAATAGTCACATGTCTTATCAAAACAAACAGAAGTGTTTAAACATTTCGAAGTGGGACAAAGTTACCCCGGTGGGCTAAAGTTGCCCCGTCTTACGGTAATGTAAAGGGATATGTAAAAATACTGTGACTGATCATTATACTGTAATTTTCACTTTAAAAAAAGCTAAAAATGGCAACATAAGATTTGATGAAATTGCTGAAAATAAAAAAATCTGGCATATACATTTTGAGCAACTAAAAAAAATATGTAAGGAAGAAACATGGTATGCCGTGTTGTTAATACAAGTGATATTAATAATGCAATCAATTTTTTTTATAAAATAAATGATGTAATAAATTTGTCTAAAACTATCAAACAATTACATAAACATAAATTTAAGTATACAATTAAAAGAGGGTCACTACAGGCATACTTTTTTCAAATATATGTAGGGACTATTAGAATAATGTTTTTAAGATATTATTAGGTATTATTTGAAAAAGTGATAATTATTAATTTTAATCTGGGCATAAAGTAATATCCTTTTCACAAGATATTAACATTAGAGATTCCAGTCGCTCTTCCCCCATTGTACTTCTTAATATACTTTTGAGCAACTTCAATTTCGAAATTGCCCTTTCGGGCGATGCATTATATGAATTATGAATGTTAATACAATAATATTAAATCATGGACAGAAAAAACTATAATCTTGCCAGTGTTAGCCATCTATGGTGTAATACTGTGATCTGATAATCGTAATTCTTAGATACGATTTTCAACCAGGCTATTTATAAACATTTTTTCCAAATATCGCTGGGTGCTGATGGTTGTTATCAATAGTAAATATGAAAAAATATAAATAAAAAACTGCGAATACACCTACACGTCACCAGCGAGTCGCGACCGTCTTGCATGGCCGTTGCCCGTTTATTTATGTAGACCACGGACTAAGATATAATGGGGTACAGGGTAGTTGTTCGAAAAATGATAAGAATGTCGAGTACGATAATTCTGAAATGTTAGCATTACCAACATAATATTTTTTTTTTTAAATAGTAAATAATTTGACATTTTAAATATGTGCTGCACTGAATAATTCGTTAGCTATTATTTATTACATAACACGGTCTTCTAAGTCCGTGTTACATAATAAACATTATTGAACAATTAACAAGCTATTTTTAACTAATATTATTCTTAACTTTTTAAATAGTCCTATTAATTTGTTGTCAAATTTTTGGATGAGGCCTTATGATTTTTAAGAGTACGGCATGGTAACTTTCAAAATAATTTTGGCGAATGTACCGATTATACCTAATATGTATCTAATATACCGTAAATATTTAAGGAGTTATGGAAAGAATCCAAAAAGAAATAATGTATTCATAAATAAATCGGTGGTACGTCAAAGCAACATCTTCATACTGCACTATGAATACAATTATGACATTAACACCATCAACCACCGAAGGAATTCTGCCAATTCTTTCAGACGGAAGGTATTGTAGTACAAGTATCTGTAAAACATTTAAATAATGAATTCACCATAATGATTTATTTTAAATGTTTAAAAATATGTAAAATATTAAGAACCATCCGGAAAACACGAGAAGCAACAGGGTTTATTTTTACTAAATTGTAAACACCGATCGCCTTGTTTCTGGCATACCGTAGAATCGCCTAAATGAATTAGTACTTAATAATTATATATATATTTTAATACTTCTTATTAAACTCTTACCTGACAATAATGAAAATAGCAGCCCTGGTGAGTTATTTCTCTAAATACAGTATGTATTGCATTGATTTGCCCAATTTCATAATCTGTAATAACCATAATATTTTGGTATTGCAGGGGTATCATATCTTTGATACGTGCAAATAATGCAGTATTTATTCCTTCAGACTTTCCATTTAAAAGTGCATATACCAGAGGATAGCTCTATAATATAAAAAAACAAGAATTAAGACTTAGAACAGAAGAAAAATATTCATATAAGTTTCATAATTGCTGAATATAGAAAAGAACATACAACATTTTTGTACACTATTTGAAACGTAAATAGTTGGTAGCAATCATTATCTATTGTCTTTGGGACAGTCTTTAATGTACCATCACATCCGGCTACTGTGATCTATAACACCATAACACTACTAAGGGCCAGTTGTACCGTCTTCGGTTAAACAGTGATTAAGATTTAATCTATGATTAGTGATGTTGGGTCGTTGTACAGTGCCGGTTAACCTTCTAATCGTCGATTAAAGGTCTGTTAAGTTAACCAGCCATTCGACCGCGGTTAAACATTGATTAGTTAATTTTCGATGAGAGGGGGAATATAATTCGTTATCATTTATCGTAGTTATCACTCATCAGCTAAAACAAAATGTTCCGATTCTGATCGTATTTGGATTTCAAGTTTCAACCGTTTTACGTTTGTCAAATAGTGTTTGATTTCGATTAAACTGAATACTAGTTTTTATGATGATGTATAACAACAGTTCGTCTGAAGATGCTTCAGATTTTGATCAATTGACTGTAATGATCGCATTTCCTAGAAATCCGAGAATCTTCAGACATCGAAAACATCATTTTACCTATTGGAGAGATGATGAATTCTTCAACAGATTTCGATTATCGAAAAATACAGTTCGCTTTATTGTCGATCTAATAGGTGATCGCATATGTTCCCGTACCGATTGGTAAGTTTTTCCTAATTGTTTTTTTGAAATACATTATCATTTATAAAAAATATTATTATTAATAGTTTAAACATTTATAATAGGAATAATGCTGTGAGTCCAGAAGATAAGGTGCTCCTAACACTGAGGTATTATGCAACAGGATCAATGTTAATTGTATGTGGAGATTTCATTGGCATTCATAAATCGACTGCAAGTCGTATTGTGAAACTTGTTTCACATAACATTGCTATATTACGTCCTCAGTTTGTCAATTCTCCCAACAATGAAAATGATTTAAAAAAAGTCAAACAAGATTTCTACAACATAGCTAAATTTCCAACGGTTATTGGTGCATTAGACTGTACCCATGTCAAGATTAAATCACCTGGAGGAGATAATGCAGAAGTATATAGAAATAGAAAGAATTTTTTCTCAATCAATGTACAGACAATTTGTGATGCAAACTTAAAAATTCAAGACATAGTAGCTCGATGGCCTGGTTCATCACATGATTCTACTATTTTCAATAATTCAGAAATACGAAGGAAACTAGAAATTGGCGAAATGAGGGACTGCGTTTTAGTTGCTGATAGTGGCTATGCACAACGTAACTATGTTATGACTTTGGTTGGAAGCCCTAACACAGTTATTGATCGAGCCTCTGGTATTTATGAAGAAGCTGTAGCTAAATATAACGAGTCATTAATTAGGACTAGAAATACTGTTGAGAGAAGTTACGGTGTTTGGAAACGTCGGTTTCCAATAATAGCTACAGAAATAAATGTAAAAAATACTTCATCACAAAGTATTATTGTTGCTACAGCAGTATTACATAATATAGCCTGCAATTTTGGAGAAAGCGTGCCTAGAGTTACAACCGAAATAGAATCGTTAATTTTAATAACAGAATTTAATAACCCAGGCGAAGGTGCGAATGCAGCCAACATTACAAGAAATAAGTTCCTTCGCTATTTTAACAACTTAATTTGAGCGGATGCCTTTACAGTTACATTTATTTATCTTTGAATTTTTAACTGTGTTCCTTTAACATATAATTATATACATTTGTAAATAAAATAACAATACAATTCGAGACAAAAAAAAAATGTATTTATTAAAAATTTAAATGGTTGTGACTTACAAACCAATAACAAGAATTAATATTTATTATGAAATGTTAATGAATTAAACAAAAAAAAAAAAAAAAAAAAATTAATAACAAATAATCACTAAAATAGGTGACTTAGATATTTTAATAACATTTTAATGAATTAAACAAAATAATTAATAACGAATAGTAACTTTAATAAGTGACTCAGATATTTATATTGGAATATTTTATTTTTTCAGCTGCTTTTTGCATTTTTAAAATGTCATTTGTCAGTTTCAAATTTTCAATTTCAATTTTATGTTTTTCAGACATCATTTGTAGTTCCAAATTGTGTTTTTCTTGCTTCAGATGCATTTTAAGTTTATGATGTTCAGTAAAAGCAGACTTTTGTTCTTCACTCAGTGAGGATCTAGTTGATGCCCAACTGGTTATTTTGTCCTGATATGTCTTTTTTTTTTTGTCTCATTACCATCTGAATAAAACATTAATAAACTAATATTTTAATAGACTCAGAGATATTTTTGGTAAAAGGGTTAGATGGGAGTATGAGTTATTTAAATATTATATTTCATAATCATAATGGATGGTATTAAATTTGAATTCAATGATATAATATCATTGTATAAGAAAAACGATTCTGAGCGGTGACGGTATGTCAGTGTATGTATAAGACATACTATATACTTATCTATGGTGTTACGTATCTCCTTGGAGGTCCGTGCACAAATAAAAACAACGAACACTTTCGAACTATATGTTACTTTCTATATTTAACTTGAAAAGAAAAACTTACAATACACTTAATGAATTATTTAATGTTTTATAAAAAATGGTCTGACAATAATAATGTTCTGGCGTGAATCACAATGTTCCGTCTACTGCTCTGAAATGCCACTGGCACGGCTTGCTATACGAGCCGTGCCTGTAGCCAGCGCTTGCCTGGAATTGCTGTCGCAGCAATTCCAGACAGTCGCCGTCGTACAATATTATATTATACACTATTATATATATATATACTAACTAATATAGCCAGGGGTTCTTAACAATGGTATTAAAAAAATTGACCTATAATGAATTCCAAATTAATCATATCACAATATCCATTAGGTACTTATAACGCGTTATACATCAACAAAAACCGTGATACTATCATAGATATATAATAGTACACTTTAGAAGTTTCAAGTACCCACGAATAATATTATTCAATCACAACAAAATAACTAAAATAGTTATTCTAGGTTTTTTAATATGTAATTTCGTCCAAATTTGAATTTAAAATGTCTGTAAAAAATAAGTGTGTTCATATATTTTTTAGATTTTTTGGTTACAGTATGAACTATTTACGAGAACCTTTGTGTTGAATTTGCAATGCTTAGCTATAAAAACTGAACATTTTATAATTTATTAATTACAATGATTGATAATTTTCGAGATTTTGATCAATTTTGTCAAAATTTGATCTTTAAATGCTTATAAAAAAAAACTGTTCCTATGTATTTTTAATATTTTTCAACTACTATTGTAACAATATATCAGGAGCCTTGTATTAAATTTTTACACTTTTTGGCCCAACAGATAAAACTTTATTAATATTTAAAGAAAAAAAAACTAAAAAAAATTGAAAGCTGTAAATGTCCATAAACAGCTCAAAAAGAGTCAAAATATTTTCAAAATTGTATGGTGTATAGAAAATGCTAATTTAAACATTCAGTGAATTTTTCATGTATCTACAACTGTTCGTCTTTGAATTGCAACAAAATAAGGAAATCGCTACATGAGTAATCGAGTGAAAATCCAATGTTGTAAAAATTTGAATTTCAAACGCTCATAAAAATTTAATTTGACTGTCCGGTAGAGATTTTTTTATTGATAAAGGTACATAATCTTATAAGAAATCTTGTGTTTCATTTTCAAATCTTAGATTTAAAAAGAAAAATTTTTACGAATTCTTAACTCAAAATAATTTGCTAATTTTCGTGATTTTTCCATATTTTGTCAATTTTTGAACTTTAAATGCTTATAAAAAAAAAAAGTGACTAAGGATTTTTAATATTTTTCATCTGCCTTTGAAACAACATATTAGGAGCCTTCTATTAAATTTTCAAGCTTTCGCAACCAACAAATAAAATTTTATTGATATTTTTAGAAAAAAAACTAAAAAAAAATGGAAAATGAAAATGGCCCTAATCAGTTCAAAATAAATCAAAATATTTTGAAAATGTAATCGTGTATAGAAAATGCAAATATAAACAACCAGTGAAAATTTCATGTATATACGTTCATTTGTTTTAGAATTACACCAATAACCAAAATCGATTTTTTGGAAAACCAATTTTGCGTAAAAATTCCCGTTTTTCCTTAATTTTTTTGTTGTTTTTCCCGGCGTTGTGAAAACTACTGGGAAATGTTTACTTTTGACCCCCCAAAGTACCAACTAGATTCACTTTCCTATCAGAAAAGCTACTGATGAAGAAAATCCAAGCACTTTTACTGTCCTAAAACGTGATGACAGACACAAAAAATAAAAAATATAAAAATATAAAAAAAAAAAAAACACATCATTGTAAAACCAATACATTCATCGCTCTGCTCAGAATCTATAATAATCATGACTTACGTTTTGTAACTCAACAGCTATGTCCTGAATAAAACTTGTGTTACAAAAGACTAATCTAACTAACATTCCATTTACCTTCAATGGCCCCTGATAAAATCTGTAAATAGAAATAATTCCGGAAATAATCATTTACATTTTAATTTTTTTACCGAATAATATTAGCTTTTACAGATTTGGTTGTGCCTGGAATGTGAGGTCAAAGTGTCGGTTTTCATTAATTTGTAAAAGTTGATGGAGGTGTAAAAGATTCCTTGGAGTTGGGGGGAATATGGATTTTCTTATTTGGCGCATTCTCTCTGTGGCTTGGAGGTATGTATAATTGTATGCTCCTTCTGGACAACTGAAAATTAATTTATAATAATAATAGTAATTACTATTGAAATGTATCAAAATAATTATTGTATAAAACATTACATTTTAATTG